GACACCACTCCCCTCCTCCCTCCTCCCCCTCCTCCTGCGCCTCCCCCTCCTCCCCCTCCCCAACAGTCACCCCAGAGGCCGCTCTCGCGAGATTTCCGGGCTGCCGGTCTGGGCCTGGCGCGACACACAACACACAACACACCCTTGCGTTCTCTCTCTTTCTCACACACATATACACACACACACTCACACACACTCTCCCTAACACGCGCGCGCGCGCGCGCGCGGAGGCCAGAATCAGCCTGGCTGCCCCTGTCTTCCCCCTGCCCCACCCGCCTGGTTCCCCGCTGGCAGCACCGGTACTCCCCCACCATAGTCCCTAGTCCCACCTTGGAGCAGCAAGCAGGTGCTTTCAACTCGCTGGCTCGCTCGCTCAGATAACGTCCCGGGGCCGCACTGGGGCCCCAGGGGTTGCTCTCACACGTCTGCCCATCTTCGTCCCACGCCCGCTATCTATCCCCCGTGGGCATGCCAACTCTAAAGGCTCCAGACTCGGAGAGTTTGTAATTGCCCGAAAGTGCAACAGTCCCTCTCCGCCCCCATGCCCACCCCCACTCACATCCTAACTCAGACCCGAACCCTAATTCCGTTTCTCTAACCCTAACCCAGCGTCTATCTCTGTGCTTCCAACAAACTAGGCACGTAATAAATGCTTACTGATTGACTGACTGATGCACGCCGGCTCACAGATCCACTCCCACAGCCAGAAGGAGCCAAGTGGTTTTTAAACGGAGAGGAGGGGGTCAAAAGCGCACTAATGACCTGCCTCCTCGGGGAAACTAGATGTGTGGGGGAGGGGTGGAGAAGGACTTGCTGCTATCTCCTCCCTGGACAGGAAAGTGGCCCCTCCCCCACTTCCTTGTCTTGAGGCCAATGGACAGTCTCCCGAATACCTCCAAACCTCTCCCAGCCTTTGGTGTTTCTTAAGGAGGGATTTCCAGAGATACTGCCCCCCAAAATATGTGGAACTTGACAACTTCTCCACTCTGATAAGCTAAATACTCCAGGCATTGCAGGAGTCTGAAAACATTCTGCGTCAGAAATTAATACAGGCATTATAAAGTGCAAAGGAAAAATCATGGATCTAAGACCAAAATACCTTAGATCAATGTACTACTTTTCTCACAAGCCTCTAAGATGCAGCACGTTAGAGTGGGGAGAGCTCTGGTCTTTGAGTCTGAGGACCTGGATTCAAGTCCTGGTTCTGACACTTCCTTAAAAGTTGGAATCTCAGGTAGTCAACTCCTCTGAGCCTCAGTTTCCTATTCTGTAAAATGGGGAGGGAGGTGAGAAATAATGCACTATCTACTTCACCAGTTAGGAAGAATGTGCTTTGGGAGCATCATTATCGATGTGATCTATTTACTGCTTTGTGATAATACGTATCCTCACTGCACTGGCAGAAGTTAGGACGCAGGAATGATTGGCCCAATTTTATACGTGAAGATACCGAGGGCCGGAGAGGTTTGATGGCTTATTTCGGTAAACTAACCAGGGTTGCTTGTAAAATTCAGGCACCATCCCCTTTATGGAGAGGGGAAACGAGATTAACTGATAAACCACCCATGGTTTAGTTTACTTAATAGTAACAAAGGGCTACAATAATCACATATATGTGTATACTATATATATATATATATATTTATATACACATCCACACATATATATACACATATACATATACATGTAAATTTAGACCTGGAAGGGACCTTATAAATCACTTGTTTCAATCTCCTCATTTTACTAAGGCCCAAAAATCCCAGCAGCTAGGCAGCACAGGGGCAGTGAAGAGAGTGCTGGGTCTCAAGTCAGGAAAACCTGAGTTTAAATCTAGCTTTGGATGCTAACTAGCTGTGTGATCCTGAACAAGTCATGTCACCCTATTTGCTTTAGTTTCCTAAAATGAACTGGAGAAGGAAATGGCAAGAAAACCCCAAATGAGGTCACAAAGAATCTGACACAGCAAAGACCCAGGAAAATGAGGCCTAAAGAGATGAAGTCATTAGGGGCAGCTAGGTGGTGCAGTGGATAGAGCACCCGCCTTAAAGTTAGGAGGACCTGAGTTCAAATCCAGCCTCAGACCAAATACCTGACACTTACTAGCTGTGTGACCCTGGGCAAGTCACTTAAACCCAATTGCCTAAAAAAAAAAAAAAAAAAAGATGAAGTCATGACTTTGACTTGCCCAAGGTCACATTGAGGGTATCAGAAGTGAGAGATCAGCCTGGGTCCTCTGACCTCAGTTTAGCCCCCTCCCCATCCATGCTGCCTCCTCTAAGGGGATGTCCTGAAGTTCTGTGAAGAGCCCAGGCCTAAAAGTCAGGAGGACCCAGGTCCTCCACATTGACTGTGTGGCCCAGGACAAGTGACCTAACTGTTCTATGTTCCAGTTTCCTCATCTGAAAAATTAGGGTGTTGGATTAGATGACCTCTTTATGTTCTAAAATTCAATCATTATGAGTAGCACTCTTGGATTTGGTAGCTATAAGTCACAGATTTAGATGTGCAAATCTTAGAGATGGAAAGGCCCTTAATAACCAACACTCTCCCTAATCCACAAATCCTTTCTGCACAAGCATCCTCAAAGAATGCAGTTACAGGATTTTGAGCTAGAAGATCCAGCTTTTGTTCCCTCACATTTCATCCTCTCACTCCCTCCCTTCATTATTTCCCTCCCTTCTCCCCTGCACCACCCACCTGGCCATTTTTGTAGTATGTGTGACTAAAGAATAATGAGGCATTTCTGTTCTCATTACTTTATAATCATAGCTAATACTGCAATAGAGACAGTTTAGTACTATGGAATGGGCACTGGCCAGCTAAGTGAAGGACTTGAGTTCAAATCCCACCCTTGATGTTTTCTACCTCTGTGACCTTGGGCAAGTCATTATTTCAGCTCTCTGAACCTCAAGTTCCTTATCTAGAAAATGAAAGAGTTGTACTGGATTGCCTCCGAAGTAACTGCCAACTCTAGATCTGTGGGCCATTGGCTCTGGATTCCATTCCATTGGAATCCTCACCGACACTTCTATGAATAAATAAAATAGCATTCGTTATGTGTAAAGAAGTGTGCTAAGTCCTGAGGATACAAATAGAAAAATAAGAAAATTCCAGCAACACAAGGAAGATTTTAGCTGCAATTCAAATGGAAAAGTCCCATGGTCCTTAGGATACAAAATGTCCTATAATTGGCAAAAGATTTTTGACTGAGTGGGCATTTAATCAATGCTTGTTGATTGATGGATTGACTGATATGACTGAAAAATTCATCACTCTGGGACCAACTGAGTGATGAGCCTTTCCATATATAGCTGGGCAGATATTCCTAGAACAGATAAATATCATAGGTAAAAAGTTGCCTCATTCTAAGCTGAGATGATCTGTACAGAGTTAGCTCTCTATAATTTGTAGGTAGATGGAAGTATTTGTGGGGGTAATCCTAAAATCGTAGAACTAGGGTTGGGAGACCCCTTAGAGGTTTAGGAGTCCAAGTGCCCCCTCATTTTGCAGATGAGGAAACTGAGTTCTTAAGAAGTTAAGTGACTTGCCCAAGGTCATACAGGAAGGAAGTGGAAGAGCTGAGATTTGAACCCAGGTCCCCTCACTCCAAATCCAATGCTCTTTCCACTGTATTGCATGACTTTCCACGTTTATTTGGCTCTACAGATTTCTCTTCCAGTTTGTTTTACTTAAACCTGTGATATTGACATAGGTTATCATCCTAAATCCCAGGCAACTGTAGTAACCTAGCATGTTTATGCTGAAAGGTGGGGAGATATTCCACTGGGAATATCATATTCACTACATATAATTGAAAGTTGGTTGTCCTTGATTTTGACAATGATTCATTTCTTAAATAGGTTACATGGTTCTCTCTTCCTCTGCATTGTCGTCTGGTTTAGAACATAAGCCTCTGCGACAGAATAACCCCTCTGTGAAAAGTCATCTCTAATAATAATAAGAACTAACATTTATATAGAGCTTTAAGGTTTGCAAAGCACTTTATAAATATTATCTCATCCTCACAAACACCTTGTGAGGCAGGCGCTATTATTATCCCCCTTTTACTCATGAGAAAACTGAGGCCAACAGAGGATAAATGACTTGCCAAGGGTCACACATAGCTATTAAGTGTCTGAGGCAAGATTTGAACTCAAGTCTTCATGACTCCAGGTGTATCCACTCTATCTACTACCTAGCTTCCCTGACTCCCTTGAGCCTAGGTAGGGCTCAGAGTAAAGAAAAAATAGTTGGATTGTTTATATGGTATGCATCCAAAAAGGCAAGACCTAGAAATGTACACCCAAGTCAATTAATGGCCTTAGACTTCACAACTATAAGGGACTTGAGGGATTGTGTAATCCAACCCTATATGAATT